CCTGCTTCAAGTCAGCCTGGATTATGAATCTGGTCACAGCAGGTAAAAGTCCCATGAGGCAAATATCTTACACAAACTTGTGTCACACCACTGAGACCCGGCCTTGCTAATGGTGAGAGAAGAAGAACTACTATGTGTTGACACACCTGCTTGATTCTCTTAGCCAACTCTGGACCAAAGGATCATGCTTGGAAATCTTCTGTTTAGCTCTGAGCTTTTATTTATTAAAGCTTTCCTCTGACCATTTGTAAACAAGATCCTATTTTTACAGATATAAAGAACACAGAATAAGCTAAATAAACTAACCCTCACAGTGAACACTCACCTTCTGCCAAAATGAGGGTCACCAGCTGCCACTGAAGGATGTACTTAAGACTCCTGCCAAGTTCCACTGCCATCATATTGAATGAACACACAGGGGCTGCCGCTATTGCTGTAAAATGACTGCTTTGGGATTCAAATGTCACAAAAAGAAACATCAGAATGAGAAACCTCAAAGGAAAGGAACGTCTGCATCAAGGAAAAAACACAAAAGGCCAAGTTTGCACTCATGTTTATATTTTAATCCAAAGCACTTAAAGTGCCTAAATTCCACATTGCCTTCAAGGCTCAGCTCAGGTAAGACCCCTCCCTCCTGTGTGCCCCCCACCTCCGGCCACAGCTGGTGCTTCCTTCCTCCAGAACTTACTTTCTATGAACTTCTCTTTGCCCATGTGGTATCATGTGCGTGCATGTGCATGCATGTGTGTGCACATGCACACGCCTGCACACCCTCCCCCAGTGGAACAGGCTGGAGAACAACCTATCACAGGAACCTGATATTCAATAAACAACAAACACGGCTTAAGAGCTCTCCAGCCAAGAAGATGTGCTAGGAGAATGGGGGTGCAGGTGGCAGAAATGCACATTCTTCACACTAGCCTAAGATCCAAGTGGAGAGGCAACTTCAACGTACAAAGTCACATCACAGAAACCGGAGAATACGAGAGCTAGCAGTGATCAGAAAATGAAAGGCATGTTTTATTACATCAAATGTAAACCGCATTACATTCGATGCGTTTAAAATGAGAGCAATTACTGAGAGGGGGAAAAAACGTTTCATCAAATAGTTCTGTTAAATCTGATAGACAAGATACAGAGGGAATTGATACAAATCAGCCATTTCTCAATAGATAAATGGTCAAAGAACACGAATAAAGTTATCAAGAGACAAAAACCATCAACAATCAAATAATTTCTCAATTAGTACTACTAATAATGCAAATTAAAATGACTGTGAGGTTCCAACTTACGCACAGCAAATTAACAAACGTTATTAATAGACAAAAATAGTTAATGTTGAGGAAGATGAGGGAACAACGCTAATAAATGGCTGTTGGAGCTATGAATTGGTCAAACTCTTTTGGAAAACAATTTGGAATTATGGAAGATATGTCACCAAATTGTTCATACCCTTTGACCCAATAATCACATTACTGAGCATATACTCCGAGCAAGTCCAGTTCAGAAAGAAAAATTTCATATATACCAGATTCAATATAGACCAAAATATTCCTAGTAGCACTTTTTGTGTTAATCAAAAAAATGCCAAGTGGGTGTCCACTGACTGTGGAATGACTAAGCAAAATGTGGCATATGAATGCAACAGAACACTACTGCACAGTAAGATACATGACAGTTACGAGGAATTCAGAAAATCACATGAAGACATATCAACTGATACAGAGGGAAGCAAGTAGAATCAGGAGAAGAATCTAGACGACTACAATAGAATAAACAAAAAAACACTAAATGATAGCCTCAAATTAATTTCAATGACCAATTTACAATCTCTGTCTCAGAGAACAGATAATAAAGCATATTTCCTTCCTCTAGTTAGCTGCAGCAACAGGGACTGAATGTAATGGATGCACTCAGCTGGTTGTATTTGACAGTTTTTTTCTTACAAAGGAGAGTTTAAGTGAAGGTGGGGAGAAATCTTGAAAAAGTTTAAATACTGAAAGCTGAAGCTCCTTATCCTACATGCCAGACTGTGATAAACGAAAACAGTACCTGTCCTCACAGCTTATGGCATAACAGGGTAGACAATCTGAACATAAATAGATAGATACCAGATACAAAGCAGATATAAATTGTGTGTGTAAGGAACACCAAGTGGGAGGACATGGGAACACCTTGGAACACCATAGGTGGATGGTAGAGTGCACAAAGGGGAGAAAACTAACAGGATAGGAAGGAACTAGTTTGTGAAGAGATCTGAATGCCAGAGGACTGTAGATATGATCCTAGGGAATTTTCCACTGGAGTTTACAAATGGGGGGGTAGAATTGGAGTGGGGACATCATCAAAAATGGACTTTGGGAAAATCACTTTGCTAGCTGAAGGATGGATTGGAGTGGGGAGGGTCTTGAGGCAAGGAGGTTGACTAGGAGGCTAGTGCAATAGTGCAGGTTAAGAAATGCTAAGGACTTAAGACTAGAGGAGTGGTTGTATGAGTAGATGGGCATCTATGGGCTGAGGAGAGACAAATGCCAAGATGTGAGGGGGAAGTAAGAGAGAAGAGGAGAGAACACCAGGGTTTCAGATCTAAGTGACTAGAAGGATGGCAGTGGAGTTTAGAAGGGAATGAATGTGTGGGAAAAGTAAGGATCATTGATTTGGGGATGGTGAGTTTTCTATATCCACACGACACTTAGTTTGAAATATTGAATAAGGCTCAAACTGATAAATGGTCAAAGGGTATTAACAGGCCCTTCTCAGAGGAAGATGCCCAAGCCATCAACACATTTTTTAAAAATTTCCAAATTAATAATAATTAGAGAAATGAAAATTAAGGCAACTCTGAGGTTTCAACTCATATGCATTAGATTGTCAAAGCTGACCAAAAGAGGGGATGTGCCCTGTTGGTAGAGCTGTGAGCTGTGGTGCAGCCATTCTGGAAAGCAATTTGGAGCTGTGCTCACAAAGTTACTATACTGTGTTTACCCTTTGACCCAGTGATACCACTACTGGCCTGTATCCCAAAGAGATCAAAAATAGGGGAAAAGGATTCATACGTACAAAAATATTTATAACAGCTTTTTTTTATAATTGCAAAAAACTGGAAACTAAGGGGGTGCCCATCAATTGGGAAATGCCCAAACAAGTTCTGGTACATGCATGCGATGAGGTATGACTGTGCTGTAAGAAATGATGACGGGGAAGGGTTCAGACCATGCAGGGGTGGGGAACCTGTGGCCCTTTGACTGAATCCAAACTTCACAAAACAAATCTCCTTAATAAAAGGATTTGTTCTGTACAACTTGACCCAGTCAAAAGGCCGCACTTGAAGAACTAGACAGACACATGCTGAGTTGGATGACATTCCCAGGACACCATGAAACCTCATTAACTGAGGCTCCCAAGACTGGAACACCCCATCTTCACATAGATAATGCAAATATAAGTCTTAAGGGAATTTTTTTAAATAGCTAAGAGCAGACATATCAAACATGCAACCTTGGGTCATATATAACCCACAATACTCCCAGCCTGATTCAAATGAAATTGGGAAATATGTAACAAAATAAAAATACAATAAAACATAGGTAACATTACATTTGGAAACCAAGTCCCCATATAGCCCACATCACTCCTTAGGAATGGATTAGTGGGTCCTCCCCATTTGAGTTTGCCACTGTTGCAGTTTCATGGTTTGTTATGCCAGCACCGTCTCAAAGAATTCAGAGTTGGACCACCTCTATTCCAAGTATAGGCATTTATGGAGGACTGATGCCTCTCAGAAGCGGGATAGGTTCCAAGAGGAACCAGCAATTTCAGATAGCAAGATGGATTTTTATAGGGTAAATATACAATTATATAACAAAAATTATGAATATTAAAAAGGCAGGAGGGATTTGTTAAGGGATTAGGTAATGGGGAGGGGTCTCTTCTACGGTTCGGTGGTCAAACATCCTGCTTTCTGATTGGCTAGCTATCGTGGTCCTGACTGGTCAAGATGGATAGTTAGGCATTGTGGTCCTGTCTTGGGCTATGTGGATGATGTGATTGTGGTTGGGTATGAGGACACACCTGCTCAAATATGTGAATTGGATCTGGGGGCAGTGGCTGTATTGAGTCTGGGGGCCTGTGGTGTGGTTAAATCAGGACATGCCTGCTATTCAGCGGGGCCCATAAGGAAGGTAGAATGTTGGGGCTGGAGGCAGCTTTATTAGGATTCCATCACCACCACTGGCTAAGAAGACTAGTGTTTTGAAGCACCTTCAAAAACTTGACAAGCCATTTTCTGTTAAGTTAAAAAGTCATTTATCCATCAAAACAAGTCCCCGAAGGACTTCGACAAGCCAGTGTGAATGACAACATACTTTGTCAATTGAGTCTATAAATGTATGTACTTGGAAATAACGAGACTATATTTCCATGGGGCTGAAGCCCAGCCCCTTCCCGGCGGGACCATCTCTCGTTAGCAGACACTCGTGGACACTAGGCCTAAATCTGACTCTGCCAGTTCTGCCCAGTGTCACTCCTGGTTCTGTCCTCTGGGACCAAGAAGAACAAGTCTAATTCCTCTTCCACAAACACTCAGATGGCTCACGTGTCCCTGTGGGGCCCTCCCTTCTTCAGGTTAAATGTCCCCAGTTCCTCCATATGGTTTGATATTTTTTTTTGGTGAGGCAATTGGGGTTAAGTGACTTGCCCAGAGTCACACAGCTAGTGAGTGTTATATGTCTGAGGCCGGAATTGAACTCAGGTCCTCCTGACTTCAGGGCTGGTGCTCTATCCACTGCGCCACCTAGCTGCCCCTGTAATTGCCGCTTCTTACAACACAATGATATTCATATGGTTTGATATTGAAGTCATGGCTGATTTCTGAACCCTTTCCAGCTTCTCAATGTCTGTCCTAAAATGTGACGCCCAGAAGTGAACACAAACCAGTGGATTCCAATCATTTAAAACAGTGACAAAGTCTGAAATGTTGGCAGCAAAGACACAGACAAACATTGGGCACATTTTACTTTTATTCTGTCAACTTTCAAAACATTGCTGTTTTCTTTTCAAACAAGAAAAGGCTACGCACATCCTCAGTGTCAAGTCAGACAGTGAAACGCGAGAGCACCAGCAAAGATGCAGCTGGGAAACCCAGAAGTCCTAGTGCTGAGCCATGCTAGGCACATGCCAGGCTACGCCAGGCCAAATGGTAGTCTGGGCTGAAAGCTCCATGGGGAAGCTGGCCCCCAACTGGAAGGCAGCCCCATCTCTCCAGCCACCCCTTGCCCTTTGAATGTAAGAGGGTAGAGGGACGCCTTCTTTACATTTGGTTTCCTGACACTCACTGCTTGTTCTTTTGTAGCTAAGAAGATTCTCGCTGAGCTGGGCATGAAGGTGCTCTTGGTAGAAAGAACATTGGCTCGGAGTTCTTTTCAAAGCCCAGACAGATTGCTGGGGGCCGGGAGGGGGAGAGGCAGTAAATGCTAGGAGAATAGGGAAGTAAGATCTTGGTCTTCCAATCAGGAGAAGTTGGAAGAACCTTCTACAGATGAGGTGACCCAGATTTAGGACCAGGGTCAGAGAAGTGAATTTAGCAAAGGGGCTCAGGACCCCACCCTCTCTGAGAAGTCCTGCTAGGCTAGAACCCTCCCATAAGGCCCACACTAGCACAGTGAGAGGCTGCTCCTAATCCCCTACCCATGTGCATGTGCTCATCTGGAGCTAGATCTATCCCACACCTCTCAAAGTGCCAGTGGGGAAAGTGGAGGTGCCTGGGAGTTGGAGGACTGGAAGACAGTGAGATGGAGCATGACAGCCCAGAATCCTCCTTGGGGAAGAAGAGTAGAATCTGCCCCTCGACTCACCACTTTTGGATGCTGGCTTTGGGTCTGTTGCCTCCCCACCCTTCTTTGAAATGTTCAAGGCCCAGACTCTACAAGTATAGCCACATGCCAATGACTCTTGGGCAGCTGAGCACCGGGAGTCGTATCTGGCCGTGAGCCCCCGGCCTTGAGCTGGTAGACCTTTCATCATTCAGTGAGTGGATGGACACAAGGAAGGATGGGAGGGCGGCCGTTCATGTGGTTGGCACGTGGCCCCCAGGAAGACCAGGACGCAGCTGGGAGAAAAGGCTTAGACTCCACCCTCCCCAAGCTTTCAAAGTGAAACAACTGAATACATGGTTGAAGAACCCCGCCTTGTACCCCACAATACAGAGGAATAAGTTAGGATGAAAACAGGAAAAGTGAGTCAGGAACAGAATGAACAGGCCAAGCCAGTGCACCCGGAGGCCATCCCTGGTGAAACGGCTGCTGAGGAGTGCTCTAAGCCAGCCTCTACAAAGAGCTGGTTTCTGCCCAAGCAGCTACTGGAGTAGGTGGGTTTGCTCGCCTTCTAAGCTAAGGAGAAAAAGGGAGGGTGTGCTCAGTCCTGTGCCAGCTTCCAGCGTGGCAGAGGCCAAACACCTCACTGCATGGCACAGACACTGTGAGGCAGAAACTCTTGGACATAGGTAGCTGCAGCTTTGGAGAGGTAGGTCATGGTGCCAAACCTGCCACTAGGGGCGCTGTCGTACAGGAGGGTGCAGATGCCAGAGGAGGGATCCTTTGCCAGCATGGTGTCGTCTGCCCCGAGGGCTTTCTGGTTGGTGGGTGAAGGAGAAGACAAGGGGAGAAGAAAAAATGACTAATCAATTCCTGATTATGCCCAAGGGGCTCATTTTCCCCCAACCTCCCACTGCCTGGCCAGATCCTGGGCTGCTATTGACAGGACCTGAGCCCCAAGGGGATGAAGATAGGAGCACATGCATATGTGAGAAAGAACAGGTCCATTTCAGAATTCTCCGTGTCTCCATTCTCTTCCGGAGTGGAAATTAGTGTCTGGAGGCAGATCTGTGTGATCAGGGAAGGGTCACTTCAGCTCAGAGACTCAGTTTCCCCTTCTGTAAAATGGGGATGATGATGCCCTTTGAGGTCCTCGCTGTTCATCTCTACTACCCAATCAAAAGCCTGGCAGCTGTTGTCTGCAGACCCCTTCCTTCTTCAATGAGCTTGGTACATGTCTCACAACCTTTCTCTCCTCTCCAGCTCCTACCTACATCCTAGAAGACTTCAACCTACCCAGTGACCCGCCTTCAAACACCCTAACCACTCAGCTCCTCAGCCTTCCCATGAGCCACTCCTCCACCCTACCTCAGCCACACACAAAGACGGTCACACCCTGGATCTTGCCATCACCCACAAATACACCAGCTCCAGGTTCAGGATTTCTGAAAGCCCCTCGTCCAATCACAATCGACTGGCTTTCCACCACTTCCTCTGCCCTCCCTTACATAACCCTGCTCTTTGTCCACACCATGCCCTATAGTCCCTCAACCCCTCAATGCTCTCCCATGCCATCTTCCTAGCACTAGCCACTCCCTTCTCTTTTCCCCATCCTAGCCCCTTGGCGAAGCAATTCCACACCACACTGACCTTCTCTCTCGAATCCCTGACTCCCCTTATCACAGCCTTGGATCACTCCACCATTCACCAACTTCATTGCTACACAGCATCACATCTGTGTGATACTGAACGAAGGTAGAGAAAATCATAGAACCGCTCTGACTGGGTCCACTACAAATTTCTGTACGCAACCTCACCTGGGCACTCACTGCTGCTAGGCAATCTTACTATACCTCCCCCCCTTTATCAACTCACTCTCCCCCTCTCCCCAAAGGCTCTTCCAAACTTTCCTTCTTTCTTAAACTTCCCATGGCTCCCATTCTCCTCTTTCTCTCAGCTGAGAACTTTGTCTTGTATTTCACAGAAAAAATGGAGGCCATTCACCGTGAGCTGCCTCTACACCCCTCTTCCCCATCTCCTGTCTCTCAGGTATCTTCCTCCACTGTCTCCTCCTTGACCCTGTCTCACATGAAGAGGTGGCCTTACTCCTAACCGTGGCCAGCCCCTCCCCCTGCACAGGGGATCCCCTTCCAGCCCGCCTCCTCCAGCAGATCGCCCCCTCGGCCATCCCCTCTCCCTCACTTATCTTCACCCTCTCCCTGGCCCCTGGCTCCTTCCCTGCTGCCTGCAAACAGGCCCGTGTCTTCCCCATCCTGAAAACCCCCTCACTTGGTCCTTCCATTCCCACTAACCATGGTCCTACATCTCTTTGGCATCTTGCTAAACTCTTCAGAAAGGCCGTCTACAATAGCTGCCTTCACTTCCTCTCCTCACGCTCCTCTTGCCTTTTTTTTTTAGTCCATTTATTTATTTATTTAAAAAATTTTTCCCCAGTTCCATGTAAAAAAACAATTTTTAACATTCATTTTTAAAACTTCGAGTTCCAAATTTTCTCCCTTCCTCCCTCCCCCGCCCCCACTGAGAAGTCCGGCAGTTTGACATAGGTTATACATGGATAGTCACGCAAATCATATCCACAATAGCCATGTTCTCACAGTCTCTTCTTAATCCTTTACCACCCAGCCTCCAGCCTCATCACTCCACCAAAACTGTTCTCTACACAGTCATCCACGATCTCTTAACTGACCTCTGAGGAGCGCTGACGTCTGGGCTTCCCTGCTCCTCTGTATCTTCTCCTCCAACAGCAGGGCTAAGACAAGTCACATCCCCTTCATTATCCTCCCCTGGCCCACACCCAATCTAGTATCATATGAACTAGGCAAGTTCTGTTCCCTCTTGCCTCAGTATCCTTGGCTGTAAAATGAAGGAGTTGCACCAAAGACCTTTCAGTTCTACATCCTATGAGCCTAGGAATACTTATCAAGACCACTTCGGAAACTCCACCCTCTCTTACTAATTCAATGCAATTCAAATAGAAAAATGATATGCTGTTTCCCGGGTCTCTTAATGAGCCAGTGTGCTGTGCCTGCTAACAAATATGAATGAGCACTACTGACCACCAAATGTCTCTGGGGGCCGGGCAACAGTCTGTCCCAAGACCAGAGTAGCCAGGCTTAGAAGAGTAGACCAGGCTGCCTAGTTGTTTGCAAGGGGCTGAATGGCGGTGCTCTCTGCACCCAAACCCTTGGGCCAATACAACAGCTCAGCTCTGTGGACAGAGAAAGGTAAGAGAAAGGGAGCTCCACCACCCAACCGTTATGAAGTCAAGAAGCTCGTTGGCAAAGTTTGGTTTCGGAAGAAGATGGAGCACACAGAATAAGGCCAAAAGAATGAGGGAGAAACTGAATGCCACAGCACAATGAAGCCAACACGGCCCGGCAGCCAAACTCTGGCTCAACAGCACAGGCTCAGCTGGAACTGGCCTGTCCCAAAGGGCTGCACAGACCTGCTCTTGCAGGAACAACTCGTTGGCAACGTGTACGATTTTCTCCACGGCAATGATGCCACCGACACTCTGGATTTCAATGTCTGCCAGCATGGTCAGGACGAGGATGGCTTCGACCAGCAGCTGGCGGTATTCTGGCTGAGGAACGCGGTTGAGGACAGACTCCACGTGAACAGAGAACTTAATCTCCCCTGGTGTCATCTAGGAGAAGGACAAAGGTGCCCACGGTCTAACAGACATGAATCATGGATTTGCCAAGAGCAGTGTTCTAGCCCCTTTGAAAATAACTGAGTCGCTGCTGGGGATCTGCCTGGTGCCCCCACTGCGGCCTGGCCTCCAGGTAGAGAAGCAGGGAAGGGAAGGGGAAGGGGATAAGCATTTCTATAGTCCCTACTATGTGCCAGGTACTGTGCTAAGCACTTAAAAAAACCCCCAAATATCCCATTTGTCTTCAAGAGAAGATAAATGGAGAACATGCAGAGTATTTTCTTGATTCTAGTCAGCTCAGAGGACCTGGGAATAGGAGCAAAGCCTAGAATAATCAGCTGGCACTCGGGCCCTCTTCAGCATACATGAGTCTGCAACGACCACAGCGGGACCTCCATCATTCTTAGGCCCCATTAGAGATCCAGAAGTCATGTGCCATTCCCACATCTCCATCATCTCTGTCCTCTCAACACTACCAAGCTTGGCAGACGGCAGGCAGCGAGGCTGCCCTGCTGGTAAGCTATGCCCAACTGGGGCTAGCAGGCTTCCAATTGCTCAAGCAAACATTTCTCCTTTTTTTTCAATATAAGCCGCAGGCAAATGGCTTAGAAACGCTCTCTTTTGTGTGCAAGACTTTGCCAAGTGGCCATCGCATGCATTGCTCTGCAGGGCCCTGGGCCAGGGGGCACCCAGATTCTTACCTCTTGGGTTGTTGAAGAAGGGAGAACGAAGCCTTCCACAGACAGGCCATGGCACTGCACAAGAAGAAAACTTGGGTGATCGGCCAGAAATGCAGATTTCATCACTCTTTGCCAGGCTACGCTAACAACTGCATAATCTCTAGGAGACAATAAACACTACAACACCAAGTACACAATCAAGGATCACAAGGTAGAGAAGCTGAAGCTTCTGGAAGGCCAGTGGCTGGTCTCATAAAATTTTATCATTCTCTCCCTAGCACCTGGACCATAGGAGGCACTTGGGAAAACCTGGTTGCACTGGGAAGCCCTGAAGCCCAAATACCCATGGCTCAGGGCTGGAACCTCATACCCAGAAGCCACTTTGGCATTGGGACTTATGGCACTTCTGCTCTGTGTGTGCATGTATGTGAGAACATGTGCATGTGAGCAGGCATGCAGAGGCCAGGCTAGGCCCACAGATTTAGGAAATACATGGTAAACTGGGCAGTTCTAGATGCCACCCACAGGGGTTCCAGGCTTTAAAGTAAGCCAGATTTGGCTCTAAACTTCCCCAGTCCTTAGGGCTAAGTGGAGATCCCTGGGGCACATCCAGGTCACTAGGGAGATCTGGAGGTCACTGGCCCAGCTCCCTCCCATGTTTTGCCTTCATTCTATGGGCCTCCAGCAGGACAAAGTCAGGCCCCATGCCCATGTTATGCAAAGAGGTCATGCTAGGTTAGGAAGCCAACATGGTTCCCCTGAGACAGAGCCTCAGAGATCTTTGTAGACTCCAGGAAAAACCTTTGGGAGAAGGCAGCTGCCTCCTAGGGGCTCAGGGCCTCAAAAGCAGGGGGAAGGAACCACCTGGTCACTGGAACAAAGATAACCATCTGTTATACGATGGCAGAAGAAGGCTGGAATCCATTCTCTCCCACACACTCAGCAATGTTCTTGGGGTAGCATTCAAGAGGCCCAGCAAGGTTGCCAGCTGGAAATCCAGGCCTTTTTAATAAGTTTGATCCCCATTTGGGCTACAGAGCTGGAAGTGTTACGGTCTGTCCGCATGGTCCTGAGCCAGCATATTGCCAGCAACATCACTAATCTCACACTAGAAGAACTGTTGATGAGAGGCCCACACTTGGCCACCTCTTCATAATAAACTGCTACGTATTTCCTCCCTAGCATAGAAGTAGCAAGGCTACGGAACCAAGTAATTGCTGAGTCTGCTTCCACAGCCAGAACCAGGGTCTATCATTAACCACCTGAAAGGGGCAGCTTGCCTATCGATGGGATGGGTTGGGAAAGAATTGGGCCTGGTGTCATTCACTGAGGTACTGCTATGGGGCCAAGGACCTAGAGCAAACACTTTGGGGCACACACACACAGACAACCTGGGAATCAGAGGCAGAGAAAACAATCATGGCCCTGGAACCACCAGGCAAGTGCCCCCACCGGGCCTTAAGCTTACCTTGCCCACCAAGCCTGGGAAGATGAGTATTCGTATTCTCATTATATAGGGAAGGGAACGTGGAGTCGAGTCAGAGGGGCAAAGTGACCAAAGTGTGCAGTCCTAGAGTTACTGGCAGAATAGAGCCTCACACCCAGGTCCCTCTCCTGATTCAGCCCCTTGTGTTCTCGTTGCTATACCATGCTAGGGGCCTACTTATTTCTAGAGGTCCCTGAGTTCTAGAGCGTTCTGTCTAGCATCCCCACCCCCATCACACTTGTGTTCTCTCCCAGTCCAATCCCTTGTGTCTAGGGGAGGAGGGTCACCAGACTTCAAGGAGAATGTATCAATTCCCCCAATGGATCAGGCACCTCAGTGGTACGGGAGCTCCCAACTGTGAGGCCTGATCAGCCTATGAGGTTCTCATTCAGGTACTCCCAGCAGTTAGCCATAAGCAGTTCCAGAGGAGGGTGGCCATTCCACCTGAAGGAAGACTGCCATTGCTGGCAGACAGAAAAGTCCACTTGCCTTTTGGGCGAAAAGGGAGCAGGAAAAAGCCATGCCTCTGCCTACCACTAGGGCCGGGTGCTGGTCTGGCTGAGAGCTCACAGGGGAAAGAAGGAGAAAGCCACCGGCAAAGTCACGGTGTAGAGTCAAACCTTCTGTAGAACCTTCCACACTTTCTGATAAAACCCGACAGGGACCCTGTTCAGTGCTCCATCGAGCCGGCGCCGGCGCTGCCACTGGCCCTGGCGAGTGTCTTTCCAGGACTGCTCTTCAAAGGCACTTCCAAAGGAGCCCCCACTTGGGCTTAAAGAAGTTCCAGGTGACTGAATGGAAAAAAAGGAAAATACAGTGGAGTCGACGGCAAAAAAAAGTGGGACCTTTCACACAATCAAGCTGTTGTCCCAACTGGCCTGACATTAGAAACGTGCCCCCAGGGCACAGGAGCTTGGCACATGCTGACTTGGTAAATATTTGTGGGAAGTCATCAGATTAGAATTCTATCATGGAGAAAAAAGGAACTTGGCAGTTAAACACGAAGTGGATTGAGTTCATGGGAATGTCAAAATCCTGGAGTGAGTAATTTGGTGCGCTGCCCTGTCCCACCCACAGCAAACGGGAGGAAAGCATCAATGGGAGCCTCCAACCCCGACCAGAACATCTGTCCTCTTGCCTTGCTTGACCCCGCTTCTCTACACAGGCCACGATTTTGAAAAATCTGCTGTATTTTGGATTACAATGACATCCATACTAAGTGGTCGATAACGACTTAAGTTGAAGCATGTTTTTAAACTTAAAAGTGGAACTGTACGTGCTCCCACCTCTCTTAGAAGCCCTTCTGGCTCTACTCTACGATCCCAGGATTCCCCCAAAGCTCAGCTTCTTTAGGCTGGCTCGGCCATCTACATCCACAAGCTTTCCCACAGCTCCTGGGCCAGCAGCACACAGACACCTCTGAGAGGTTTTCAGGAGGCAAGAAAGGCAAGATGACAACAGTTACCAGAACTGGGGACATCAGCTCAGCACTCAGCATGTGGCCACCATTGGGCTAGGAAAGAAAATCAGAGAATAATAATTTAAAAGGAATGTGACACTTTAAAAAAATAAAGTGCTTAATAAAGACAAAGTTACTGATTCTTCAAAGAACAGGCCAGCATATTATCAATGAAAAGCCAAAAATAATAGAACTAGTCTAAGAGAAACCACAGAGAAGGCAGCCAGCCTATAAACACATTCACTAACCCTTTTATTAGAACCGATGTCTCTACTGAAGTCCTTCTCGGGGGATCAGTGGCAGAAAAGCAGAAGGAATGTGGCATGATGGGATGAAGCTTCTAAAAGCTCTTCAGCAGAAGAGATTGGACCAAGTGTAAGGAATTGCATTCTGCTTGAGACCCATGAGCTGGGGTGGGGGGCTTCTGTATGCACTGGGGCTTTGGCAGAAAGCTGCTCATTTCCAGAGGGATCTGAGCTCCCTAACACGATCACAAGAGAAAAGCTGACCGCTCTAAACAGTCTCCTGACACCTCCAAGGTGACAAACATGTAGTTGGTCATGACAGGCCCCCACGGTAACAAGAGTGAGGGATGATGTGCCATATCTGATGGGGTTTTTCCTTCTCAATGTCCCCACTGTGTGTGACACCCTGGACCACACTCTGCTGGCAGGAACTCTTGGGTTTGCTGGCTTTTCATGTCACTCTTCTCTCCCAGTTCTCTTCTGCCTATCTGCTCATTCCTTTCAATCTACTCTGCTGGCTCATCATCTACATCCCACGCCCCTGACTATGGCCATGCCCCAAGGACACGTCTTAGCTTCTCTCTCCTTCTCCCCCTATACACTCTTGCAGTAACCTCATCATTGCTTGGACTGGCCTCTCTGCAGACGGCTCACAGATCGATATGGCCAGCTTCCATTGCTCTCTCCCACAAGCCTCTATCCTCTACCAGCAATGGCATATTGGGCACTTCCAACTCAACATGTCCCCAGATGAACTCATGTTTCCCATTGAAGGCACCTCTTCACCTCCCAAGTTCTCTCATCACCTCAGCATTATCCTCAGCTCGTCACACTCCCTCCCCCCACACATCCAATCATTATCCACATTTCTGCCTCCATGACATCTCTCCTCTCCATTTCACTTCTCGCCTCCTCACTGACCTCCCTGCCTCCACATGGCTGCCAATGGACCTTTCCTCAAGTGCAGATCTCAGCATGTAATTCCATGACTCAGTCCACCCCGGTGCTTCTCTCTATCGCTTCCAGGACCCGTTTAGTTTCCCGACCCCTGCACAAGCTGGCCACAAGCCGATCCAACCTATACAGCCTCCCTAGCCTCATCCAGCTGAAGCAGCCTTCTCTCCGCCCTTCACAATACTCCACCTCCCACCTCTCTGTCTTTGCACTGGCTGTTCCCCAACCGAGATGGAAAATTAGCAAATCAAAATACCGTGACAAGTTCTTAAAAATCCCACAGTCAGCACCCAAAATATCCTACAAGTCTAACAGTAAACAGGCACTTGAGGCTTGAAACCCAAGTAACACTCACTATTTATACAATTTTTAGCCAACCTCTCCCAATCAATACACATATTTCCTGCTCCACAACGCTCAGTGAATTGCCCACTGGTAAATGTGGCCCATTCCCCTTTCAAATTGGAATCTCTCCTGATACCAGTTTTCTCCCATTTTCTAGGATAATGTCACTTGAGTCATAATTAGTCTATCCTAATACCCCATCTCTCCTTTTCTTCCTCAATTTACTCTTTCCTCCTTCTACCACTGGATGCATGAAATTTTCTTTCAGAACTATTTGAATTCTCCCTACGCTACAGGAAGAGTCTATCTCACCAGGCTGTTGGGAGTAAAGCATTTCGTGAGCAGTAAAGCACTGTAGGATTACTTGAGAAGCAGTGTGGTATAATGGTTGGAGCACTGGCCTTTGAATCAGGAAAACCTGGGAACTAAACCTACCTTTGACACATAATGGCTGTGTGACCTTAGGCAAGTCACCTAACTGCAGGATCTGCCTTCCTGCATGCCCTCATTACTGTGTATGGATAAGTACAAATCCATAGTAATAAAGGCATTTAGTTAGGTGTATATATTCTTTGGTCTAGATCTGTGATTTCATCAGTATGGGGAAGTCCCTAGTGTTTAAACTCCCTTCACCAATGCAGATTGGCAACCCATCTATTACTTCTGGTCTTAGAAAGCTTCCTGGTATCCTGAGGCACCTTCCCTAGCAGATTTCTCCCAGCCATCTCTCCCTGTCTAATGGCTGCTTCCCTGCTGATGATAAATATGCCTATGTCTGAAAACACCTCCTGAAAAAACCCTCACTCAGTCCATCTCCTCTAACTCACTCCCAGCTTAGCACAATGCCTTAGCATTTAATCAATGTTTACTGATTTACTGACTGACTTCTAAACCATCTGCCATCTGGTTCCTGACCTCAGAAACTCAAACTGTGATGCTTTTGACCTTTGCATTCCACTGGGACGGCTC